AAAAGGATCAAGTCAGGATCAAAGCTATGGACGTGGAGGAACAAGTTGAGAGATCATGGACTCGGATACAGGGTTGCTCCTCCTCCGCTGTCCACTCCGTGTGTAAGCAGGCAATTGTGTCCGTAGGAGCTCGGTGAAGAATGGGTCTACTCGTTACGCTCCCTGGGTTGGGCGATCGTGACATCTGTTCAGACCGTCCGTCACAACGCACCTACTACTTCTATGTGTGTTTGCGCTACGGGTATGATCCTTAGGATCAGCAATGGCACAGTTATTTTCTCAGCATCCCGATACTTATTCCACGCAAATATGCCCTTGGAGTTGAGATTAGTACCACTCTTGAAGAACTGTCCCTGAGCATGCAACAGTCGGAGTTGCCTATCATCAGTAGCTTGACTGCCATTGCTGCCTTGACAAATGACTCACTAGACCGGTTGGTGTATGGCCATCTAATTATGGAGATTAAGAAAATGATAGCTTTTCGGATATTTATTATGTTAAAAGTAGATCGTAGTCTAAATAAAGTGTTGGCTAACAGGGTCTATAGGATATCCTCATGAATCGCCTTTCGCCTAGCACTCTAGATCGCCCATAGGGTTACAATGAGACAGGTGAAATCCTCATGTGGTAGTGTATCGCTTATCGTGAAGAGCCAGTTTCTTGCATCGGTGTCCTGGTTCATGCTCATGTATTCCACCAAATCCTCCTTGGAGAGGGCCCAAACACTACGACCCATGGTACATGTCAGCAACCAATGTCCCCAATTGTCACCTGAGCCGCAGATGGCACAAACATGGGTATTACTCATATTGCCATAGTGCAAAACGTTCCTTGTTGGAAGAGAATGTTGGCCAACCTTCACGTGAAAACATTCAGTTTTGATGGAATATTCTTTAGCCAAAGTGATGTCCACGATTTGCTCATCTCACTCACATTAGAGCTTCCTCTCCTTTCCTCTAGCCAGCCTTCCCGATCCCACTTAAGTCTCATAATCATATGGTATGACAACCGACCTGTAAAGCGGCCCTTGATATCTTCGTTTTAGGCCCAAAAGTCTTGTACATTGGAGATGCACAAGGGACTCTCTAAGGTGGCCTCGGTATCAAGGGGTATGAAGACCTGCCTCACTAGTGCCATGTAGCAAAAGTTCTGTCAATGAGTTCGGACACTAGTTGTGGAGTGTGAGCCACAAGAGATGCAACTGGCTTCAACATACCCGGCCTGGGAATCCAGTTATCTTGCCATATCCTCGTCGTTGCTCTGTTGCCAATCCTCCTTATAATACCATCCTGGAGAATATTTCATCCATCAAGAATAGCTCCCTAGATTTGGGAGGGGTGGTGTCCCAAAGCGGCTTCCATCAGAGAGCTTGTAGGAAAATACACCGCCTTGATGATCCTTGCACTGAGCGTGTCTGGGTCATGTATCAATCGCCATGCTTGCCGAGACATTAGGCCCCGTATAATGTGCTGCCTAGTCTCTTCCATCAGATCGGTTTTTTGGTTGCATTAGCTAGAACATGCACTTCTACATGGTATCGGAGTCAGCAGGTCTTGTGGTCAAGACCCGGCTGGCGCAATTAAATTGCATCCCACTTTCGGTCCATGTTTAGGCCTGAGGGAGCCACACGCGAGGAAGGGGTGTTGACGTATAATGTGTTGCCTATTCTCTTTCATCAAATCGATTTTTTGGTTGCATTGATTAGAGCATGCATTTCTACAACTTCGATATCACAGAAGCTACCGGCCCGGTCCGGCTCCAAAGGCTCTCGGGCTCCTCTCCCTCATCCGGCCTTGAACCAGAAGAAAGCGCCGCGTTTGACGTGCTCAACGGCCCGATCGACCGAATTGAATTTGTTAACGCCAATGCCATTACCCTTCTTCCATATAAACCGAGCAGTTAAAATATAACTACGCTGTTTAAGTTTTTTTTTTTTTTTTGCGGGGAACTAAGCTGTTTAAGTTGAGTCTCTAGATGCAGGGCATTCAACCTAGCCAAACCCCATGGTCTGAAAACGACGCACCAATGGTGGGGCAACATCTATCACATCAACCCAGCTAAGTATTCCGCTCCTCCGGAACGGCCAAGCAGACGCCGAATTTTGGCAAGGCAATCTGCCCGTCCAGATTTTTTTTTAGCATCAGTACAGACACAAACGATCATATACACGTGCATACACTCACCCTTATGAACGCACACACGTACACCCTACCCCTATGAGCACCTCTGAGAGACTGAGCCAGCATATCATCTTGAGATTTACGAAGTCACCGTAGACGCCTCGTCGTCGACGGGAACGTCTCCTCCCACTGAAAACGCATCGCCGGAAATTCTGAAATAAGTTCAGAGCCGGTCAAACCAACCGAGGTAAGAGCATCTCCAACAGACGCCCAATATTAGCGACGCGCCCAAAAAATTGCAAGTTTAGCACGCGCGGAGTTGAAAATAGCTCTTCAGCGGACGCTGTATATTAAAGCACGCTGTAAAAAGCGTTCAGCGCGCCGGACGAAACTGGATCGTAAGCCGTATATTTAGCGCTTAAGCTCCAGCGCGCTGAACTTGAAAAGTGTCCCGTGCGTCCGGAGCCGCCGTTGGCCTCCTCGCATGCGCGCGCCAGCTCGCCAGCCGGCCACGGGCGGCGGACTGCGGCCACGGCCACGCAGGCGCGAGCCCGGCC